TAAATAATATATACAGAGAGAGTGAGAGAGAGAGTGAGATATATATATATATATATATTACACAGATATACACAGATATACACACACACAGAGAGAGAGAGAGAGATATATATATATATATAATATTTATATAACCACCCATCAGCGTGAGAATTCTAAATTCTCGCTGTTCCGGATTTTTTACTGCAACATATGCATACAAGAGCGTAGGTATAATAAACAATTCACAACCGCTCACCATGTCTCTCCTAATTTCATAAAGTTTAGGATGCAATTCTTTTAAAAAGAACTCCACGTTGTCGCGCATTTTGAAAATCTCGGCTTCGCTGTGAATGATCTCCACCGTCAGCCCAGCGTCTGGATACAAATGCTCCAGAAATATTTTGACTAACCTTAACAAGAGGCACGGAAAGGGAAGAGAAAGAGGGAGGGGGAAAAGTGTATGTATGTATGTATGTGTGTGTGTGTGTGTTCGTGTGTGTTTGTGTGTACTTAGACTTACTTTGCTTTGCATAGAGTGATACCGCATGACACACACACCCAATGGTAGTTCATGCGACTATGTGCCTGCCACTCACATACGCTGCTGTTGCCTAACACACACACCAAATGGTAGTCCATGTGGCTATGTGCCTGCCACTCACATACTTTGCTGTGCCTAATGTGCTGTTCTCGTATGAGCCATGGGCGGGGTTGCGGCTGTTGCCTTCTCCACAGATCAACAGAATGGTTTTACGCGCACCCACACACCGACTCATCCATAGCGGAGTGGACAGGGCTATCTGTGGGAAGTACATGGCATGCACACCCACACTGAATACAATCAGCAAAGGAGAATGTATGATATTAGTAGCCATAGCACATGGGACGGATGAGCCTAACACATAAGTACTGACGGCGTCATGGACCATGTGGAAAGTACATGGCATGCACAACCACACTGAATACAATCAGCAAAGGAGAATGGATGATATTAGTAGCCATCGCACATGGGACGGATGAGCCTAACACATTAGTGCGGACAGCGTCATGGACCATGTGGAAAGTACATGGCATGCACACCCACACTGAATACAATCAGACAAAGGAGAATGGATGTTATTAGTAGCCATAGCACATGGGACGGATGAGCCTAACACTTGAGTACGGACAGCGTCATGGACCATGTGGAAAGCACATGGCATGTACACCCCTCACTGGAGAGTTAGGAATATAGTGCAGAGGTTGCCTTTAGAGGTAGCATAAGAAAAGCTTCAACTTTCCAATCTATATTGACACTATAGAAGACACTGTAAGATGTACATCGCATGCCATTCCCCACTCACTAGAGAATCACCCGAAGAGGTCGAAGCATAAGCCACAAAGCATATACACATACATATATATATATATATATATATATATATATATATATATATATATACATATATATATATACGTATACATATACACATACATATATATATATATATACAAATAAACTTATATATATATATATACATAAGTATATAAGTTTATCTGTATATATATATATATGTGTGTGTGTGTGTATATATATATACGTTATATATATATATATATATATATATATATATATATATATATATATAAACAAACACACAGACACAGACATAGACACAGACACACGAACACAAACAAACCCACGCATATATATATATATATATAGTAAATAGTTATACATACTCTTGACGTGATGTGAGAGCGTCCTTGTTCACACTGGGGCGCAGGTGAAAGTTCTTCCACTGCACCTCGACAGGTTTACCCATGAGTTGCAGTCCTATGGGCACTCGTGAGACAGTGCCGTCTGTCATATACATATCCTCTTCAAGTACACTCAGATTTTCTCTGTCAGGGTTGGGGAGGGACCAAGAATTAAATGAGTCTGCAAACTAACAGCACGCTTGCCACCACCTTATGTACAATACATACGCAGATGGGCTGGGACGCTTGCAAGTGTAAAGTAAACCAAGATTCGGAGACTAGACACTCACACTTCGTGGGCGATCTCGCGTAGACACTTCATCTATCATCCTTGTTTTAGGGTTCAGCCCCCAAAACCCTAAAAGCTGATATTTAGGGTTTAAGGCTAGAAACCCTAAAACCCCCGTGCACGAGACCAATCAGCACATGCGCTTGAGCCACTGCCAACTCTCACCCAACGACGGCTTTAAGAAGACTGAGCAGTCTAACTCAAACCCACAGCAGGTGTTATCACAAACGACACTCGCTACCTATAAAACAGTACTAGTCACAGCCGATCCCACACACTGACGCTGTAGCATCACATTAATTATGGCTCTCCTGAGAACACTCCAACCACAAATCTAGATGGGTGGGCTATAGTTGCTGGACCAGACAGCGAGGTCTTTGGTAACCGTAAACCGGGGAATGGAGTTTGGTTGGTCTTAAACCTACATATAACTAAGATTTCCGATAATCGAGACAATAAACTGCCGGCCAAATGTACGTTCACGTGCACATCCGCTGCACACCATCCTCGCACATACACATAACCAGGAGCAGACCACACACCTCTGTGCACTAGCCGCTCGCCATGCGTCGTGGGGGGTTGAACTGGCTCCACCTATACTTTGGCGATGGCGTGGCTCCGTATCGGTGCTGTGCCTCATACTATCGCTAGTGGAATTTGTGTGCAAGGACTTTGTTGTCGTGTCTGCGGTATCCATGGTAACGGTTCGCGACGCGGGCAAGCTTTCCGAGCCTGTACAGCAATCAAGTAGTAAGAGAACAGAGCAGGTGAGTATTCGATTTGGTTGGTTTGAAACACGTGTTGTTCACACTGCGCGATCGGACTGAATCACGTGTTAATATCAATTGTATAAACAAATGCAAGCGGAAGCTTTCATTCTTGTAGAAGGACATATTGATACAGACACACACACACAGAGAGACACACACACATATATATATATATATACATACAGACGCCGATACAGACACAGACACAGATTCAGACAAATTCACACCCAGATACACACCCACACCCACACACACATAGATACACCCACACACCCACACAAACCCACACACATATATATAAATGTATAAATTATATATATATATATATATATATATATGTATATAAATATATATTATAAAACACACACAACACACACACACATACACACACACACATACACATACACACACACACATATATATTTATATATATTCATATAAGTATGAATAATATACATAAATACATATAATGGATGAATAGAAACATAAATACATGGATATATATATACATACATATATATGTACACACACACATACATACACAAATGCATACATACATACTAACACACACACATATATATACACGAAGACAAACAGACACACATACATATAGAGAGACGGACACATACACATACACACACACACCCACACCCACACACACATACACAA